ATATATATATATACAAGAACATTTATGTATAATAAAATCAATATTACATAGATAGAAATAATTTTAATTGCTTTTTTATTTTAATGATTAATTTTAATTTTAAGAAAAAACATAAAGTAGATCAATCTATGTATAACATTTGAAATATAATTTTTATGATGATTAAAGTCTAATAATTTTAAATTAAAATCGCTGAAGATAAATATTATGAAATTAAGATTTACAATCATACGTGGTTTATTTTATTTATTGTGCTTAAAAATTTTAAATGTTTAAATGATTATTTTTGGTACATTCAATTTATATGTTAAAGCAGAGAAATAATAAATGTTTTTAATCTTATAATAATTGTCAACATATATAACTTAAAATTAATAAAGAGAATTTATTTTTATACCTTTGACAACAACTGATTTTCTGTTATTATTTTATACAGCGTCACATAGAAAATATAATAGCAATAAGTCCCACACGTACATAGAAGTTGGTACTTATATCGGACTTGATTACGCGGTTGGTGAGCTTACTGGATACTTATCTACTGATATAGTGAATGTAGGATGTCCATCAAGCAAACAGTTCAATTTTATCTATATTATAATTTATAAAGGTTTTTTTTTTAAAAATACATGTGTGTTTTATAGATTGCTGGCGTTCGTGTTCAAAATCAAACATTTACAGAAGCGGTAACACTGGATCCGGCTTTTACCTTTATGGCATACGACGGAATCTTAGGAATGGGTTATCCTGAGATGTCTACAAAAGGAGTGCCTCCCGTTTTCACCAGCATGATTGAACAAGGCCTAGTGTTGGCACCTATTTTTAGTTTTTATCTGAATCGGCATGTATATCTTTTTATTTCTAAAAATATTCTTTCACTTGAACGGTTTGCCTTCTTATATTATAAAATTTTGTCTATTTAATAAACAATATTTTTAATGTTGAAAAAACATAATGTTTATAGAAATGATTACGGTAGTCAACTGATATTGGGTGGTTCCGACCCCACTTATTCTAACACTGAGTTCACTTATGTTAATGTAACCCATAAAGGATACTGGAAATTTGCTATCGATAAGTACGTTGTTATTTTTTAAACTTCATATACTCATATGTAAACAGATTATATATCAGCTAATTTAATGCTGTAGGATTAAAATGGAACATGTGATTTTATGTGCGAATGGCTGTGAAGCTGTCGCCCACACTGGTTTTCCGGGGTTATCTGGACCAGCATCAGAAATCGAAATTATTAACAACAAATTGGATTTATTTAAACAAGTTGGAATTCCTCATTATGGCGGAGAAATATTTGTAAGTACATGATAAATTTTCCAATGGCAGTTCTCTTTTAATGATACTAAATAAATTACCGAAATAAATTAATAAATATCTGATTTATTACCATTAACAATAATATGCTTTATTAATGCTAAGCTTTATTGTAACATTGATTTTATTAATCTGGATTACTAGTAGGTATTAAACTTTATTTAAAGGTGGACTGCACTCACATTTCTGAGTTGCCCAATGTTACTTTCTTTCTGAGTGGTAAACCATTCGTACTCACTGCACATGATTACATCAATATCAGAATGGTAAATATAATTAAATAAAAGTTTAAAATTCCTTATCACTTACCACAAATCTTCAGATCGATGTCATAAGCGATAAAATGAATAAAAACTCTTGTAAAATATATAATGTAAATAAATTGGACGCATTTTTTTAAATAATAATTTTTGTATTTAATAAAATACACTTGTAAAAAAGACTATTCTGATTTTATCGCAAATTATATGGTTAACTTCCTTTTCTGGTTATATTTCAATTTCAATTATAAAGTTATTTATTAATTTTATTGTGACACATACATAGGGTTGGGTATATTTTGCAAATATATGTGGACCGCAATGTTGTTTTATTAAAAAATAAATTTTATTATAACTTGCAAAGCTTTTTTTATGTATGTTCTTCGATTTTGATGTTGATATGTAAGATGGTAATGAATAGACACACATAGAGCTGTAAAATGATTTAAAATAAAACATTATGTTCAACTTGTAGATCGATTCGAGAAATAGTACAATGGTATGTACAAGCACTTTCGTAAATTTTAGTAAGGATATTTGGATTTTGGGCACTCCATTTTTTAATCGATTTTATACTGAGTTCGACATGGAGAACGACCGAGTGGGATTCGCGGAGGCAAAATAAGTATTGCTTTTTAAAGAGATTATTTTAAATACAAGGAGATTTATTAAATGATAACAATAAGTAAATAATTAAGTTCCGCAATCTTTCTTTAGAACAATGATCCATGATTTTTATGCTAATATAATAATTGTACTTTTATTTGGGATTACTTTGGCGTTAACTATGTTCTTAAATCAATGCATATGTAATATTCTTTAAAAAATTAGATCAAAGATGTGCGATATTGCTGTTACCAATTTGTTACTTCTTACAGTTCATTATTTTAACATAATATCGCATTGTCACAATTATGAATATAATTTGAATTATGAATATAATTTGATCTGTTATTTTCAATATTTTTCTTTTCTTTTA